TAATCTCAAAAGTTAGAGATGGAAGAGAAAGTTATTAGACCATCCAATCTGTTTCTCCTTACATTCTTTTTCCATACTTTTGTCCAATCTGTTTCTAAAAACTCTCAGTAATGGCATTTCCACCCCAACTTTGAATTTTACTTTGTTAACCTCATTTGAAAAGGCAGACAGCTGCAACTTAGGTTTGTCCTAACTCCCAATAATGAAAAGTAAATTTTCAGTTTTCACAAACAGCATCACAACTCACAAATACACAGAAGAGCTGGAAAATAATGAATACTGTTCTGTAGATTTTGAATCCTGAGAAGTTAATATATGGGCACCATGCTGTTTTGGAGTCTTGCCAAGAGAAACATGGTTTTAAAAAAATCTGAGAAGAACTGCATGCTTAAAAGTTTCCCAGAGAAGTATTATTAATGTAAATAAATTTATCTTGCTTTCAAAGACTAGAAAAAAAAGATATTTTTTGAAAAATTATATCCCCTTCTGGTCCGCTCCTAGTGCCTCAATATGGAATGCTCACAAACTGGCCATGGGTGGAACATGTAATTTAGCATTTCATTGATGATAACAAGGACATATGTGGCTAAACAATATCAGAGTGTGATTAAGATGACAAAAGTTATAAATAAGGAAGAACATGCAAGTTAGGAAGCACAAGTTTTAATTGTTCAAAGGCTCTCCTGGCCACTGCAGACACCTGGTCCTCCAGGCTCTTTGCCAAGTCCAGGAGGACCCCCAAACTGTAACTCCATCCAGCATAGGCTGGATTCCTATCTAGGAATGAACATATTACACATATACGAAAGTCACTCCACTGGTGTGTCAAAGTACAAATTGTTCTGGGCAAAGTACAAATTGTTGCTTATAACCTTTGAAACCTATAGGGTATGGGTCCAGGTTTCCCACAGGATCACTTTCTTCTATACAATCTATCCTATACACTTAGGTCCTCTGGGGGACATTTATTCCAACTGCCAATGATCACTCTTAGGACATTTTCATCAACCGCTGCTAGAGTGTGAAATGTTCTGCCAAAAAGCTTCAACGTCTAAACAAGAGTCGGGTAACAAATAAAAACTATTGTTATTATTGTTATTCCATTATTACCATTATTATTAACTGGCCCAAACTGAGACAGTTAGAGAATATAATATTGGGAAGCATGCTGCTTCTAATATTAGAAGGAAAATATGTATACATATTTCCATCATAACTAACACACAGCTGCCACTTAAATATGAATTGACTTCCTGGGTATAGTCTGTCTACTCATCTACACCAGATATCTTAGCCCAGTGTAAATACGCTTCCAATAATGCCACATTCATCATGTTAATGCTGAATCTCAACTTCATTCAGATTGTTTTGGAAGTATACTCCACCTCGCTGGTGGCAGCCCACATCTCAGTATCTCAATTTTGCCACCACCTCTGCACTAATAAGTGAAGGGAAAACATGGTGGCACCGGTGACTGGTCTGGACATCAGACTGGGTTGAATTTAATCAAATCCTACTGTTCAGACCAGTGGTTCTCAACTTGTGGGTCGCCAGATGTTTTGGACTACAACTCCCAGAAATCCCAGCTAGTTTACCAGCTGTTAGGATTTCTGGGAGTTGAAGGCCAAAACATCTGGGAACCCACAAGTTGAGAACCACTGGTTTAGACTGTCCTGAACCAGTGGTTCTCAATCTGGTTTCTAGAAAACTGTAGTAGCAAAGTGGGGCAAAGTCGGTTTAAACCCAAAATAACCATGAAACCCACTGGAAACCACTGGCAACAACCAGAGGTTCATTCAGGGTGAGTCCAGGTCAGGATCAACAGAATCTTTGAGAACTGACAGAACAATCTTAATGCAGTACTTCCTATGAAAGGATTGCCACATTAACATAAAATTATGCAATGGCAGCCATCTCTTTTCTCTGGGTGAATTATTATTGTTGTTGTTATTATTATTATACTGGAACAAAGCAATAGGAAACTAACATCAAACATAATAATTTATGATAAATTGAAATGTCACAGCTATGTGTGGATTTTCAATTTCCACAGGCTAAATGGTACAACAAAAGTAAAAGAGGAGTCTTCTCCCAATTTTATTTGTTTATTTGTTTGATAATACCTAGCCTGAAGAAGACTTCTGGAGAACTCAAAGTCTTATTTATTTATTTATTTATTTATTTATTTATTTATTTATTTAGAGCATTTGTATCCCATCCTTCTATAACCCCCAAAGGGGGACTCAGGATGGCTTACAATTGGCAGTCATTAGATGACGACAAAGAAACAGAGCACAACAATTAACACAAACAAATCAACACCTATAAAATACATTAGAAAGGCAATAAAATACATTATATATATATATATATATATATATATATATATATATATATATGTGTGATTCTAAAAATTTAAAGGTTTTTAGGTTACAATTATGAATTTTGCCTTATTTCTTCTTCTCATGGACTAACATGACTATATTTGTAGAACCTTTATTTAAAAGTACAACTGCTGTATGCACAAAAATTTAGCTCACATGCCAAAACCCCATGATTTAGTGTACTCCTGGGATTGCATTAACTGGATGAGAGAAAGCTTATAGTGATACTTCATAGAATGGGTTTCTGAACCAAAAGAAAATGTTACAACTGAAAGGCTTCCTTCCCCCACATTTGTTCCTACTCTATATATTTTAAAAAGACAAAGATATAGTAAAAGGTAAGCCTGTAGACTCATGCTCCGAATGAGCATGATCCCAGTGCTAGGGGACAAAGGTGAGGCATATCTTTGTTTCAACTATATCTCCACATGCAGCACTTTATCTTTTCTTCATAGGACAGAATGGCATATTTTCACTTCCATAAGATGAAGAAAGGTTACAGCAAGGATCTCATTGGGCTGCATCTTGTCCTGGTATTACAATTTGCACAAAACTTGCTAGTGTACATACAAGGATCCAAATTTAGAAGTGAATAGAATAATTTGAAGGAAAAGAAGTATCTCACCCTAACAGGAGAAAGTCCAAGCTGCTGACTTGTGTGCAAGCTAACTTAGGCTCCAGATATACTGCGCTGACATGTGGTGTAGGGGCACATTATTATGAGATCGCCATGCACAATCTTAGGAGTGGTCTCCACAGCAATTCTGGGATGGCTATGTCAGTCTTCCTGTTCTTACCCTCTTTTCTACCTTTAAAACACTAAAAATAGGCTCCTTCCTTACCAAGTCTGGGGCTTCTCCTCAGGGCCGTAGCCAGAAATTTTTTTTGAGGAGGGTTGAAAATTTCAGGGGGGGTTTGATAATTTGGGGGGGGGGGTTGAAACCTGCCTCCTAGCTCACGCTGAAGAGCACAGCAGAGGGCGAAGCCTTCAACAGCCTGCAGCTCCACCCCTGTCAACCACCTCCAGCAAGTCTGGCCTCCTTAATGAGAGCATTCAACACCCCCCCCCCCACCTCAACTTGGTTGATTTGCTACATCGGCTATTGCTGCAAGTAATGACAGTGTGAATAAATTGTCAATATTTGCCTGAGATAGTGCTTGCAGTTCTGGAGGGACTCTTAATTTTTTGCATCTCATAGACTTAGCATGGGGATTTGGTTAATCATGAGTAAACCAGGTTTTTTTTTAACCTAAAAATTTTCGGGGAGGGGGATTGAACCCCTACCCCTCCCCCCGGCTACAGGCCTGTTACATGTGTAAATATTTTTCCTTTGTGAACACCACAAGCGAAGGAGAAGCCTCCAGATTCAGTAAGGAGAAAGAGAGGGCAGAGGGACAGTAGCCATACCATGGGTGGGGATGCAGATACCTCCTCACCAAAAAGGTGAGATTCTGGCTTCCTTGTGGGTACCAAATTTACATGGAATAGTCATTTTAAATACCGTTTTCATGCAAATTCAGGCCAGTATAGAAGGGACCCCAGATTGGTGTCCAAGTGGCAGACATCTTCAGACAAATTTGTGATTCCATTTTTGACAGTTCTTTAGCTGTAAACCCAATTTGGTCATAATAATCCTTCAAACACAGCAAAGCCTTTTCTCTGTAAAAACACCTTTACTTTCTTTTACTCATATGAGAAAGTAAAAGCGTTTTTACAGAAAGCATTAGTACTCTGTTCAGAACACATCAGCAAGCAAACAGCTATAAAAATCCACCTGCACCCATTAATATCACTAGACAGTTCATATGCATATATAAATCATGTTGCATTGAAAGGTTTAGAGGCAGAAACCCTGGCCTTGCCTGGGATAAAATGATCACATGATTATCTGAGGTTATTTTAAAAACCGAAAATAAACATTCATTTCAGTCTCAGAATTCCCAAGCTTGATTATTCTTTTAGGAAGAGCTCAGCAGCAAAGATTTGTTGCTCTGATCCCTGTAAAATTGAAGGCTTTGCCAGTTGAAGGATCTCAGTGGGTTCTGAATACATCCAGATTTTAAATACATCCTGCTGGTTATTCATGAATGTATCAGAAAGCAATAAACTGGATGGGTTTGCTCAAACTTGTCACTCATTGACCTACTCTCCTCTTTAATTCCATGTCCAGCTAAAGATGCAGCAAACATATTTTTGGCACACATTTGCTAGACTGTATTTTAATTATTTTCTCTTTTTTTGCATTTTGAGTTTTCAAATAAACATTTTTCAAAAACACATGATATTAGGAGAGTCACAGATTATGATGTTTATCTGATGAAGTCCATCTTGTGACAAAGTGTTATGAGAGATCAAATTTTCTCAGGATAATTTTAGGAAAAGGCAAATCTATGATTGCCCACATGTACTCTCTCCTCCTTAATATGAGTGAGGGTTCCCAGTGCAGGTGGACATCTAACCTCTATGCAAAAACCTCTCATGAAAAAGATTAATAAATATTGCTTTATTGCATGCAAAAGACACCCAAAGTAGGTCAGTTATATCTTCCAATGGATGGCTTCTGCTTGTCATTTACCTGTGCTGGATATGGAATGAAACAAGACTGTACGACATACCATGAGCAGCTGCAACAGCAACACCAACAGAAGCAACATGTGTTGTTGGGCCTTTGGTTTCCAGGTGCTTGAGGCACAGCAGATGTTTCTTCATTTTGGGATTGTTGCCTTTTTCTCATGTCAGCTGCTTCAGTGCCCCAGTGGCTACAAGAACACAGAGATAAAGAGAAAAATGAAGGAAATACAACAGTACTTGTGCTATTCACTACAAATGGGCTCTGGCTCACTTTCAACTTAAGATCTAAAACATTATCACCACAGGATGTTTCAGTATTAGTATTGCTAAACAGATATGAGAAAGTGCCCTGAAGGGGATATTCCAGAAAATCAAAATACGAAAAAGAGAAGGTAGGAGTGGTTTCTATCAGGGCTTGGAAAATACATTCCCAGCCAGCATGGCCAATAGGGTTTCTGGGAGTTAAATCCCAGGAATATAACTATTTCCCCTTCCCAGTGATTCCCTCCACCCATAAGTGCTACCGCCTTTTTTTACCCAACTCACATGCCTTTGATGCATTGAGGCACATCTCTTCTAGAAATGGGGGTGTGGGGGGGGAGGGGCTGCAAAACAGTTTGAGGCCAAATTCTGTGGTAAATGTAATCACCTCTGGGCTCAAACCAATTCCATGCATAGCAATTTTATAACCTGCATAGGAATACCAGTTCTTTCCAAACTACCATATATATTCGAATATAAGCTGATCTGAATATAAGCTGAGGCCCCTAATTTTACCACAAAAAACTGGGAAAACAGATCGAGTATAAGCCAAGGGTTGAAAATGCAGCAGCTAGTGGTAAATTTCAAAACAAAAATAAATACCAATACAATTACATCAATTGAGGCATCAGTAGGTTAAATGTTTTTGAATATTTACATAAAACTGTAATTTAAGATAAGATGGCCCAACTCTGATTAAACAATTATTCTAACCTTCTTTGATGAAAATTTGCTTATATATCCTTCCAATAACAATTATAGAGTAAAATAATGGAAGTGTAATAATAACAATAAGAGTAAAATAATAAATGTAATAATAACAATAATAAAATAAAATAATAAATGTAACAACAACAACAACAACAACAGAGTAAAATAATAAATAACCTTGACTCGAGTATAAGCTGAGGGGGGCTTTCTCAGCCTAAAAAGAGGGCTGAAAAACTAGGCTTATGCTCGAGTATAAACAGTATTTCCAAGCAGCATTATTATGTCAGTGTAGAAGTACCTGCGTTGGTTTGAAAACAATCACTATCACAACTGTTTGCAAGTGTAGTATTGTGTCCTCATCCTCTCTCCTCTTCGGGTCTTCTCTGTTCCTGTTCTGACAGTTTCTACACACACACACACACACACCATGAGATTCACCCACTTTTTTGCAAACTTTGCCAAATGGATCCTTCTACTACAAATGTTGGAGAAGCAGGTGATACTATTTCTCTGTGTTCTCAGTTTGAACCCCTTTTCTTGTTCTGTCAGAGGAGACACGTTTGCTGGCAATTGGGGATGAGGGGTTCTGGGTGATTGGCCCAAAGGGAGGGGTGTTTGGAGGAAGGGGTGCAATTAGAGCTATTTATTTATTTATTTAAAGAATTTCCATGCTGCCTTTCTCACGACAGACTCAAGGCAGCTCACAACTCCATTAAAATATACAAAGTAACATAAAAACATAAAATCATTAGCTAAAACAGAGCATAAAAGTTGCATAATTCTCCATAGCATCATCCTAAGCCTCCCTCTCCTTTCCTAACTCTTATGTGCATAAAACGTAACCTACTTTGGGATAGCAAGCAGGAGAAGGGGGAACAGGAAAGGGATCATTCACTCAAGCAGTGGTATTAGAAGAAACTGACGGTTTTTTCCCCATCAATGAAAAGATAGTATCCAGCAATGATTAAAATGCAAATGAGACACGGCAGTCATGTCCTATCTATTACCTTCTATGATATTATCCTGCAGTAATTGCCATTTCCCAACCTTGTATGACAAATGCCTTCTTACCTACCAGTCACTTTCCCTTCCAGTATTTTGGCAAATAAGAAGCTTTGGAATTCTGGCCAAGAGAGCAGGAATGACAAGCAACACTGATTCTTTCCTCCTGCAAAGATACCTTTGGCAGCAAACAGATTTGCTGCTAAACAGATTTGAGTAAGAACAGCAAGTGTGGAGTTTCATAGAATCATAGAGTTGGCTCCATAGTCCATTGAGTCCAATGCGGGAAATCCGACAGGATTTAAATACCTAGAATACTTGTATAGGTTCTCTCTTGTTATATTGCTTGGGCTAAAAAGCTCTGTTATCCATCAGAACTGATACGCTTCTTACAGTTTGTGTACCATACTCAAATGTTAATGACAATGTGACAATCACAGCTTTTCTATTCTCTATATAAGGAAATAAAACCATTATTGAAACACAAAATTATTCCCTGTACTTTACTATTATATAAAGGTATATTCAAAGGTTGGAAAAGTTCCCCTCCCAGAATGGGCCCTGACAGATCCTTGATCGCATTATTGGATTTGATCTCACACACAGAAGATGGCATTTATCTAGGACTGGTGATCCTCCATTTACAAATGAAAGCTCCGCACCCCCACAATTTTCTCCCCCTCTCCTGTTGAGTGAAACTACTTTTACATTTTTAACTCAGTGTTCAGCAATTGGATTAAGCTAAGAATGAAGGAGGGAGGAAATCACTGGATCATTTTAAAAGCAACGGAGAAGTGGGTTGGCAGATAATTTATTACGACTCTCTCCATAAGTGGGAACAAGTGCAGGGTATTGATTGAGAGGCCTGTATAACTACATTAGAATTTGGGATGTTGTGTGGTTTCTGGGCTGCCTGCATCTCTGGCTGGTATCTTCAGAGGATCCTCTGAAGATGCCAGCCACAGATGCAGGTAAAACATCAGGAGAAAATGCTACAAGAACACAGCTATACAGCCCAGAAACCACACAACACCACAGTGATACCAGCTATGAAAGTTTTTGACAATACATACATTAGAATTACTTCAACTTGAAGGTTTTCCCATAAGGAATGGGAGAACTGTAATCAAGAAGAAGAGCTACCTACAGTTACATAAACTCAGCTCCTCCGAATCCTGCTGCTAAAGTTGTCTTAAATCAATACTGATTTGAAGGCATGCAACAACAACAGGCATCAATATGATTTGTGTCTCAGATGCATAAGTCTTAAGACAAAGATGAGCTACTTACTTAAATATATTAATACTTAAAGCAACAAAGTGTCTCCGTTGAGCAAGAAGCACAAGCCATATCATTTATTCCACCAACTCCCAGTGTTAACTTTCAATAAATACTGTCTTTTCATTCTTGCTTAGGGAAGCAGTTGTTCAGATAGACACTAACAGAAGCAAGCCAGGGAAAAGTATTTTTAATTCACTCGTCAACAGTGAGTCTTATGGTTTTTTATAATAAAATTACAAACTATCCCATGTGGGCTGCTTCACAATAACCCATGGAAGACTGTAAAGCTCAATAGTAGCTTGCTGCCATATTGAGGATGAATTAATTACCACCATCCTCAAGCTGCCCACAGAAGTAATTAGCAGGGAAAAAGTAGCCTTGGGCTCATGGGACAATGTCTTGGGATGGAACCTGGGCTGCTTTCACATTGTATGATTACAGCAGTTTGTGAGTGTGGATATATCCATTAGAATGCTGGGATTTGTTGTTTTGTGAGGCATTTGAAATTCTCTGTCAGCCAGCTCTCACGCTGCACCAAAGTACAGATCACAGATTTCTATGGGATGCAGCCATAGCACTGGGGATGTGTGTCTATTTCTCAGAGACATGTGTATCAGTGCACCGGAGGCATGTGGAGTTTTAAAAAATAGGGGAAAGTGACAGGTAGGAGCAGAAGTAATCAATTACCCTTCCCCAGGAGTCAGTTATACCCTTGTTACTCAATCATGGCCTTCGGGCATTTTTGCCAGGCCATTTGAGATTCTATACTGCACTTCAGTTGATGTCACGGGTGGGTGTCTGCAATGAACTCAGACTTCCTTCTGACTTTTTTTTACTTGTTGCTTCTGACTGATTTGCATTGCAGCGTGGATTGGCAGTGTGTGTTTTGTGGCCACTCTTGTCTCAAGTTGATCTGGAGCTGTGCAGTATGGTCAGTGTAGAAGACTCTCCAATTAAAGTATCTTCTCACTGTGTATGTACTTGAAATACAAGCTGTAAGCAGCAGTAATTGCTATATTATATATGACGTTTAAAGATGCCATTGTTATACCAGAGCTGTGCCCAGATTTCAAGATTTGACCTAGAAATCTCAGTGTCTAGAACAATCCTGAATAGGCAACCCTAGAAATTAGTAGGTGATGACCAGAAAAAAGCATTCTCAATTAAACTTCACTGATTACTCCTTTATGTCTGTATACAAGCACTAAATAAATTGCATTCTTTTTGCTTAGCTCTTATAGCATCTTCCAGTTTATATCTCATTTTTCTCTTTTTTGCTGTTATGGACTTACAGCATTTTGTTTGCTATATTTATTTTTGAGTAAGCACCTTTTATTTTTAGCATTTTAATTTCATTTTATATTAGTGACTCTGAGAAGCTGTGTGAAGACAAGCATAACAAGAAAGGCTTGTAAATAAGATGAGCTTGCCTTATTGCATTTGATCTCTCAGGTTTATGTCATTTTCATTTCAGAATGCTGGGTTATTATACAGCAAATTTGAGATTCCTGGTTTCGCAGGTAAAAGTCTTTGCTTCTTTTTAAAGAACATTACAAGGACTGGTGGCAAAACAGCAGCATCATTACATAAATGTATTTCCCTTTATATGTACGTGTGTATGTATGGATAGATAGCGAGACAATAGATATATAGATGTAGAGATATATTCCAATGTCTATTCAGAAGGAGTTCACTGGAACCTTAAACATTTTCATAACTTCAGTATTGCAATGAAATCATTATGTTGCTATTGTTAGTGCTTTGAGTCCTGATTTTGGGGGAAAGACAGAATATAGATGATGGTGGCAATAATGATGAAGATGATGTTCCAATTTAGTATCCCCCAAACTGCTCAGATTAAAAAGTGTGTCACAAACACTAGTGGAGGCAAAGAGAGCTCTCCTATCCAAGTATGTGTATGTGCACATGTGTGTATGCACGCTCATGTGTTTCCACTTCCCTTTATTAATGTTTAAGGAAATTATGACTCTCCAAAGTTGCTTTCCAATGATCTAATCGAGTGACTAACTCTAACTTGTTTCTATTTATTACACCACCATGAAGTAATTTCATATTCAAATATATATATTAAGAGAAATCTATCCAGAGTCAAACTTTCATTCTTTAAATCCTGTGGGCACGGTAGAGAAATATTATGCCTTGTCAGATCTATCCAATTCCCAGCTCTTTAATCTTATCCTGAGTATTAGCAAATCAAACCATAGCCATGTTATTATACTTAAAAGTTCTTCCAGTTACAAATGCAGGGAAAGACATTTGAGTCAGCTTAATTTTGATAAATAGGACCTTAAGTTGAGTAGAATAGGCCTCTTGGTATGTGGTTTTCATATAAAAAAGATTTTTCCCTGACATTAAGTCCAGTCGTGTCCGACTCTGGGGGTTGGAACTCATTTCCATTTCTAAGCTAAAGAGCCGATGTTGTCCATATCCACCTCCAAGGTCATGTGGCCAGCATGACTGCATGGGGCACTGTTACCTTCCTGCTGAAGCGGTACCTATTGATCTACTCACATTTGCATGTTTTTGAACTGCTAGGTTGGCAGAAGCTGGGGCTCATACTGCTCCTCGGATTCAAACTGACAACCTTTTGGTCAGCAAGTTCAGCAGCTCAGTGGTTTACCCACTGCACCACCAGGGGCTCCTGGTTTTCATATACTGCATCTCAATTAACTCAAAGATTTTCCTATATATGAGCTTCATGTACTTCATCTCCATGTCTTTGAGAAGTGATCATTTAAATTGGTGTAGATGTGGATCAGCCTAATGTCATTTTTTTTGTTCTTCTTCTCTGGTAATAAAGAAGGAAACTGCACTGTGGCCTTCTACCACTCTGCAAGCATTAGGCAGTGCAGCAGAGTGAATTCTGGGAAATCTACCTGTGGTTATGTTATATGACCTATTTTATAGGACTAGCAATCAAAAAGGACAGAGGATGAATACCAGAGCTAATGTTTTCTACCACATCTATGTGTTTGATGTAAACTCGCATTATGTGAAAAGATGGCACATAACTAAATAATTTCTTTCAAACTGTTTCTCAAGATCTGTCTTATTTCAGAATAATAATTTCATGATAACATAAACATTTAGAATTTCCTTTCTGTGCTATACAATGATAAATCATATGCATA